ATGGTATGCAAACAAACACGGAGCATGTGTGTGCTGTGTGCACCACGTCGCACGATGATTCCTCCATGATGGTATAATTAATATTTGAATACGGTTATAAAGTTCGTGTGTGCGCTCAAAACGCACACAATTATGCGCTCGTGAGAAGTGTAATTGCGATCGTTACAAACCCACAACACACAAACCTCCAACATATTCACAAAACCTGCGCATGTTTTTCGCACTTAGTTTGTTTGCTTACCATTTTGCTATTCAACAAGTCCAAGTAAAATTTCACGAATTTGATTGTCGGATTGGATTGACTCAGCAGTCAAATCAACACAAAACACGACGAACACGCCGAGCTCGGTCTGCGTCGTTGTGTTTTTATTGCAAGTGCAAAGTTTACAACAAAATAAAACGAAATAAAATAAGCGAAATTTCCCTTTTAAATTGGCAGTAAACTTTAATCAACTTTAGGCGTCGTAGGCGTTTGTGAAACGCGGCGCTGCAATTACCCGCCTGTCTAAAATATTCCTTCTTCAAAAACACCACAAGTGTACACAATTGATATTCCGAGCGATTGTTACGTAAATTGAAATCATTTATAATTTCTTTCGAAATTTGCATATTTCGAAGGTTACACATTATAAATTTAAATTTCTTTAGCATTTCACTTGTGTAAAAACTTGATTATTAGAGTTATTATTGCTGGAATTATGATAAATTAAAAATTGCATTTTTTAAGTTTAGTTTTTTTTAAGTTAATTGATATTTCAACTGTAAATATCTTGACTGTTCAAAAACATTTGCTTTAGTTTCGCTATCTTATCAGGTAACAACGTATTTCAACCATTCTATTATGTAGGTAGAGTTGTGACTTATGACGTTTACTTTTGTTATTTTGCTTTAAATATTTGCATAAGCTTAACATTTGACATTTCATTGTGATTCGTCGTATCACTTTGCATAATACCGTGTAGGCTTCGTTTTGGCGATATTCGACTTAATGCTAAATTAATTTATTTCATAGTAATTTCCTCGTTATAGCGTTATAGTTTCTCTGTGTAACAACGAAAAATATTTTAATTTCTAGCAATTATGAGGTAGAATATTTTTTCAAAGACATGACATCGATGGTAACATTTGAAATATTGTTGTAATTATGATCCCAACATCCCTACAAATTGCAATGCAAATTTCTATAACTTAAGCACGATTATTCAGCTAATTTGTTGGGGTGCACGTTGCGTTACTAGAAAATCATTTAAACATAACACAAGTGAATACAACTGAGCGACGCGGAATTCATATTTAGACTTCAGGAAATAATTACCGGCATTTTTTACAAGAGTAATTGAGTTTATAACCAGCGCGACAAAAGATTAAACAGATGCCAATCCGCGTAAAATCCCAATATTTGGTTATTTTTTGCGAAATCTAACTTTATTTGCTAATAACTTTATGTTTAATTCTCTTATAAGCTAATTATTCATATTCTCAGACATCAAATTTAATAATAAACATGTTTGTATTATACTTCTATCACCGGTACTTTTCGAATCATTAATAAATACGTAACCAAAGGGCAACATTTTCCATCTATTAATTTTATACCAGCTGCAATAAAACCCGAATGTTTGCCCCGACACATGGTATGCAAACAAACATGGAGCATGTGTGTGCTGTGTGCACCACGTCGCACGATGATTCCTCCATGATGGTATAATTAATATTTGAATACGGTTATAAAGTTCGTGTGTGCGCTCAAAACGCACACAATTATGCGCTCGTGAGAAGTGTAATTGCGATCGTTACAAACCCACAACACACAAACCTCCAACATATTCACAAAACCTGCGCATGTTTTTCGCACTTAGTTTGTTTGCTTACCATTTTGCTATTCAACAAGTCCAAGTAAAATTTCACGAATTTGATTGTCGGATTGGATTGACTCAGCAGTCAAATCAACACAAAACACGACGAACACGCCGAGCTCGGTCTGCGTCGTGGTGTTTTTATTGCAAGTGCAAAGTTTACAACAAAATAAAACGAAATAAAATAAGCGAAATTTCTCTTTTAAATTGGCAGTAAACTTTAATCAACTTTAGGCGTCGTAGGCGTTTGTGAAACGCGGCGCTGCAATTACCCGCCTGTCTAAAATATTCCTTCTTCAAAAAACACCACAAGTGTACACAATTGATATTTTTAAACTTCCTGATAAATACATTTTTATGATCAACAACGCGTCAGGCATCTACGTGCCATGCATGTTCCAACCAAATAAAGTGGAAAGATGAGCTCACTGAACAGCAAAGAAGACATCGGCTGTACACACGTTTTTCGAAAGCCCGACGATACGCACAGCCTGAACCTCGTCGATCGCATTGCCAAGCCACAGCAGCGAAGAACACCGCATCGTGCTGCGTTGTGTGTGTGATATAAAACGTAGAGAACGTAGAGAGCAGCCGAGGCCAGGCCAGGCCATCGTCGAACCAGCCAGCCAGCCACGAAATCATGTGACGCAAACAAAGGAAACGAAAAAAACTGGCTTTCGAACCATCAGAGCCAGTGTTTACAACCAACCTCACCTCATACACACACACCATACCTATACATGAACCAAAAAAAAAACCGTAGAAAACTGGTAATAACCAGGTGTGTGCAGAATCCGCCCAAAACTTAATTGATTTCTCTGTATCCTGTGATACCCATCAATTAATACATAATATTCGTGAATGTGTGCAGCGTTTGTTTTCTTGTTTTGTTTCGGTCGGTTGCGTCCGCCACGCTGGTTGGGTTCCAGTTCCGTCTGGGACTCGGGATAGCGATCGGCTGTTGTGGAAGTCCCACGTAGACAATGCACAACACAACGTCTCGTTGGTTTTATAGTAGTAGTGGTAGTTGTGTTGTGTTGTTGTTGTGCCGGTTGTTTTTCCACTTTGTCCTACACACGAATCAATTGCGGTGCGCAGGACATGACACAACAAAATTGCCACAGAAGAAGAATACGAAGACGCTGAAGAACAAAATCGTGAACAGTCGAACACGAATGCAAAAAATGAGAAATCTTTGAACTAAAAACCCAAAACAAAACCCAAAATCTTACCACATCTCACATCTACATATGTTTCCTGTATTTTATGTCTTTTTGGGTCCCTGTGGTCTCAAAAAAACTTACCCAACGCGATCATCTGGCAAAATCACAGAGTGGTTGACGTGTGTGCATCAGCTGTAAGTGGTCTCCTCACTTTTCACGCTGTTTTCCCCTACACTTTTAAAATTTCCACCCCATGACGCCAACAATACACATGTGTGTGCTACTCCCCAGACTAAACTACCGCTCTACCGCTCCTCTTCCTGGCATGTGTGCTCGCACGTTTCAACTTTGAGAGCAAACCGACAAACAGATGCGGGCCACGTCCACACATGTATACTACTCACATATAATGATGGCTGATCGTGGGCCACGAATGACTTCGCAGTTAAACTCTCAAAACTTCGAACATTTCAAGTTCTGGCACAGCTAGGTCAAACATTTTAAAATATCTACAGGTAGTCTCTGAATCTTTGAATCTTCATTTTTTTCACTTACCTTCAAAAGGGCTGCGAGCACACAGAGCGCGTGATTAGAGAACGAGCAGCAGAAGAAAAGCCGTTGGACGTGTTCGCCTTCGTTTAACTTTTGTCCGACTTGTATAGAATCCAAGCGAGGTAATCGCACCGGCGTCGTGATGGCCCCGAAGAGATCTCCGACAGGCACACACAGGCTCTCTGCATGGCTGCGCTCTTCAGCCTCGGCTACACACACCGATACTCTACTTGTCTACTTCTCGGTGGAAATAATAAGGTGTTTGGCGCACAAAGAAATCAAACTCACGGCGCACTTTTATCAGCAATTCAATATTCTCACATGTGTGCAATTTAATTGTGATATGCTCGAAAGCAAAACGACAAAAACGACGCCGACGGGAAAACAATGGCACATAAAGTGCAAGGGTCTAGCGATTGTATGCGGCGCACAACATAACAACAAAAAACCCAACAGTCGCTCGCATTGTTTATAATTACACCACGCCACAATAACCACCAACAACTAGGCCGTGCATATCCGCAAATTTAAATTTGAATTTAAATATTTAACCCCAAAAAACACAGAGAAATGTTCAACCGTTGCGTTTAACCCCTTTCCGAATAATTTACACACGCATTGTAGTCGTAAGGTAACCCACGGTGTGTAATGAATGAATAAAAACGAGAAAAACGTTAGGGGTCACACGTACGGCACCAAAAAAAACACACAATCGCTGCCTTCGCAACAATGTCATCAGCGTGGTATTTAACGAAAATGATGAAATATTTACACGAAACGTGTGTGTAAATGTTTAAAATGGCGCTCTTGTTATTTCCTGTTAGATGACGCATCACTTTAAAACCAAATTTCACTAAATTCTAGCGGTTTTGTATTCGAAAAAGGTGTTTAATGACGCTTGAATGAACAACCCCTGGCAAACGACCAACTATACCGACCATACCAAGCGTTCCACACAGGTTAAACATCTGCCCTTGTTTCTATGAATCGCATTCACACATTTTACGACTGTTAAACTTATAATTTTAGAAAAAACATGCAAAAACTTGTTTTTCGTTTCAAAACGTTCTAGAATATAACATAACACATAGTAGTGTTTTGTTTCGGTGTGTTCGCAGAGTTGCCTACAAATGTGCCCATTAGCGTTGCTTTGTGCGTAGCGCGAATGTATGTTAACGTATATTTCTCAACGCGAAATCAACACACACTGCAACATGTCGAAACACGTCCACCGATCGCGTTTTGTTTTATTTTTTTGTTTGTTTCGGCAGCGATGCGCGATTGTTTCTTCGTTTTCGTGCTCGAAATCCACGATGACGATGCGCACGCGATTTCATTATGCACCTACGTGCTGTATTTATCAATATAACGCGTAAATTTCGCAATTTGTGACGATTAATCGTGTATATACGTGTAAACTGAGACTTACTTGTTATTGTTGGCGAAACGCTTCTCCTTCGGGTCCCACTGGCGACTCGCTTTCCTTTCCGCAAGTGTGTGTATACCAGCTACGTCGAATTTCCAAACAAAAACAGGTACAGAACAGAACGCGACACCAAAAAAACCATAAGGAAACACGCACACCACCGACTTCCGCTCTCTATCTATGTCTCGGCACCGCAGCACTCAAGCTGACCGTTCTAGTTTTCTTTTAGTTTTGTTGCCCTGCAGCAGATGGCTTTCGCCGCGCGGAGATCCGAAGCACGCTGGGTGAACAAAGCGACTGGCGGACGCAGCCGGCCCGGAGAGACGGCACGTAGCGCTTCTACTCCCCACCACAAACACGAACCCACCCGAAGTGAATCGGAAACGCGTACTTCGGCTACATTCGGCGAAATAAAATGGCCGACTGCTACAGCGGTAAATTCAACAAAAATATACATTTCATTGCACTTGGCAACAATTTACAACCCTTTGGCACTTGTTGCCAAGTGCAGACATGTAATAATCAAACATCGAGCACAAACACGCGTCTTAATTGTTCCTGGTGTTGGTTTACTTAATTAAAGTTATTGCTTATCGCGTAGCAAACAATACCGCGTCTGATTACAGTTCGCGCTGTCATTAATCACGGAATGCAAAACGTGTGAGCATGTTTACGTAACGATTGGAATTGGATTAGGATTAATGTTCCATTGTGCGCGCTGATATCGATTCTCGCTGCTGGCAACTGGATTAAATACGTCCACAACCTTATAATCAATCGTTTCATTTTTATAAGCACAAAATATAAACTTGGAAAACAATCGTGTGTGTGTGTAATCATTTCGTTAGTTTTCATATGTGTGTGTGTGTGTTTGTTCAATAAATCAGTTCGATGAAGTAATTTAGGCCTTAATAATTGCGTTTAAGTAAGAATCAAATGTTTTCTCGTCAAAATTTAATCGTACGCATGCTATATTTTCATATTATTCATAATCTGCAAGTTGGAGGTGACTTGCAGTGTTACGTGTTTTTTTTTATTCCTTACACTTTCTAGACCTAGATTAATGATGAAACCGGCGGCTTCAGCAATGAGATTGTTTGACATCGTCATGTGCCACAAGAGCATACGTTATGGCCGATGTGCGTTCATTGTTTATGGAATTCTTCGATGCACAGTTTACACGACCAGGAGCCTTCGGGCGGCGCGTTCAGCGGCGGCGACAGGCAGTACATGTGATAACCACGATCGCAATCGTCGCAGAACAATAGCTGATCCTGCAATAAACAATCAGATTTGATTACATTTGTTTCAACCTACAGCAAGGCAATCAAAATCGACTTGTGGAAAAACTTACGTCATTGTCAGACGTGCCGCAAACCGAGCAGCATTTGCACTCGATGCACTGCCATCGATACTTCTTGACGGAAATGTTCATGTTGGCCGTGAACTGCAGGCAGCTGGGATGACCTATGAGAGAGGACAAGCAAGACACGCAAAACGCACGCACGTTAAAACCAAGAGGATGAAATGGGCCGGGGGGAGGAATTTCAAGTTACAAGTGCCGAAGAACAGTGACTTTCCAAGTTACGTAATTTTTCTTATCATTTTCATCTTCACGTTTCACCAGAAACAAATCAAAAATCAATTAATCACAAACAATATGAAACACGCGACCAGCCGAAATATATTGAATTGAAGAATAATTTTTCTTTTCTTACACATCGATCAGAAAAATGTACATAATTTGTGAAGTGCACCTTTCGACATCTTCAGCACTTTGGACAATAAAAAAAAGCTCATCACATCTCGCATCTCGCTTTGCTTTTTATTAATATTGCACTAAAAAGGTTGACGTGTTTACATCATTCATCAGTTAATAAATAGTGTAAAGGTAATGCTTGGAAAATAACTGTTCTCACAACATGTTTGTAAATCGAAACTCTTCTCAAAATCATAATAATCATAAAATTAATTAACAATTCGCTCTAGCTAAGACTCCGCACATCCACATAACACACATATATGATCCCCAATAATTGTATTTGTGTGTTTTGGTGGCGGCGGCGCGCGAGATTTGCAACCTCGATTCGTTTTTGACAAGAATAATATTTCTGTGTTAGCCAACTAACTAACCAACTAAAGGTAATAAATGCCACTGTAAAATGCGATTGATTAATTACATTAGGAAATAAAAGCGAAATTCGTACGTAAATGCAACCAAAAAACGCAACCTATTCGAGAATTTCCAACAACACAACCCACCTAAACAAATATAAGAAGCATACATATTTATATTATCCGTGTGATTTCGCAAATTTTCCTATTCAAATTCAAATTCAAATTCACTCTGCAGAAAGTTTTGTCCAAGCCTTTTGGAAGACAATTTCCAATTTTGTTTCTTTTTTTTGTATAAAAACTATTTTCACTTGCACTGTTTTTGCTTTTTGCTCGCTGAAATTTTGGTGTTTGAAACAATTGCAAGATGACCAAATACAAGTGTCAGTGTGATAAAATTTCCTAAACAAAATTAGCTAATTTTTGGCAGTTTCTCTCACTTCACACACTTTTTTCTTTTTTTGCACCACGCCCTGCATCGTGTTGTGATTTGATATTCGTACAAAACCTACTCGCATTTGTTGTGTTTTTTTGTTTTCGCTTGTTTCGCTTAATTGTAACAAATATATAGATTATACAAGACACACTACACATACTTTTTGCTGGTTGCATCGACCATCGACACTAAATGTTAAAAGATTCCCAATCATTCGAAACTGTCACTAAATCGAAAATATCTCTGTAAGATAATAACCAAATATATATTATGCACTAATATCCCCCGAAATTCGAAACGCCTTAATGATGTGCTGTCGGTAAAATTACTGCCTATTAGAACTTTCGTCTTGCCCATTCATGACTATGCAATTTTGTCTCAATATAATGAAGGAACTTTTTCGTAATTACTAAACGCGCGGGGTGGAAATTCAATACTAAGCTTTCTTTTTGCGCCCCTTCTTGGGCTTCTCGTCCGCTTTGCGCGGCGCTGCTCCCTTACCTGAACGTCCGCAGTCCGAGCAGGAGACCAGCTCTTCCGGCTCGGCGGTTTTCTTGTTCTCGGCGGCGTCGCCGAGACAGAAATCGCAGTAGGGACTTGGCGCCGCTTTGGGTTTCTCACCGAATGGTAGAATTTGTGATGGTTGCGGTAAAGGTGGTGGACCTATGGAGCTGGTGGAAGGCGGCGCGTCGATTTTCTCCGGAACCAGCACCGGCATTTGTGGATCGTCGGATTGTGGTGGTGTGGCAACCGGAAGATTCGGTGGTAGTGTTGGTGGTGCTTGCTGGGAGGGCGCTGCTGCTGCGCCTGCGGCTGCTGCAGCGGCGGCGGCGGCAACAGTCGCCGCTGATGCTGGTCTACCACGCTTGCCAGGAGTGCCTAAACAAACAAACATTCAATTGATAATGTGATACATCTAAATATAATGTGTTTTAATGGAGATATAAAGCTTTAAATAAATATGTCTGTACAATCTGTCGCCATTGAATAATAATGAAGAAAAAACCGCAGAGATGCTTCGAAATGCTGAAAGAAAAATCGGGGATCAAACTATACATTCCCATGCATCACACACACATAAATCACACGCAAAAGATTAGAACAGAAAATTGGTTAATTGAACAAACATAGAAAATCACTAGAAAGAAACAAAATTTGGGTAAAAATATATAAAATAAAAAGAAATATGGCAGTACCGGCTGGATGGTTCAAGAAAGACACGTAACTATCTTGGTAGACGTTATTTCCTGATGACGATGCCGCCGACAGGGAGGCCTCTCCGTCGCTGCCGGCGCCTGGGTTCGACGAGGGCGACGCCTGCGCACCGCCGCCCCGCCACCGGGCGATGCGGGCCCGTTCGGCGCCGGCGGCGGCGGCTGCACGCCGCTCACCGGCGTCGTCGCCTCGCGCGAATTCTCATCGCTAGCGCCTTCTTTGTGCGAGTGTCCGTAGTGGTACGTCAGGCCCGGTCGCGTCTTGTATCGCGCCCCACACACTGAAATTGGTTGTTCACAAATTTGATTGCCTACCACTCAACAACAAACACGCTAAGATAAAGAGATTTTGCTTTTCCAATTGGGTTTTTGCTTTCCTTTAACATACAATTCAAATGATTTGAATGAAGTGTTAACAACACGCTCGAACGCTTAGCTAAAATTTTAGTTTTTCTTTCAATTTTAGGGACTGGAACCGATCGCACCGGGAGAAATTCCTCTTCGTTCGATTGTTGCTTGAGTGATGCGTGAGAATCTCGTGAATCGTGAACCAAAGCGCCAGTATTACGAACCCGAACCGAAATTTTACATTAAATTTATTAAAACTTTAATAAAAAATTGAAAATAATCAAAAAAACCGCTTTCGGTTCGAGTCCCTGCCTAAATAATAAGAAGAAAAAGCACTAAGCATCAAGCGTATATAGGAACACTATTGTTACTAGTTTAATCATAATTAATTATCCATGAGTGTGACTAGTTTCGACTACGGATTAATTTACAATGAAATGTGCTAATATTGTATAGAAACCCCTCTGAATGAGATAAAAACAAACGAAAAACATAAAAACAACCTGTAAAACCCCCAAATCACCACCAACAAATTAAAATCTTAGATGATCACATGAAATTACTTCTAAGAATTAAAGAAATAATTTTATTCTGTGATATCTAAACTATTTTATCAATGACAATGCAAAAAATCAGCCATTTTGTGGTGTTATTTGCACGTGTATGTTGGGTTGCAAACATTTTTAATGCATATTCTTTTACACAATGCAAATAAATCCACAAAAATCAATTTGAAGCATTTAATTGTTGCAATAAATTGTGATTTCTGTACACATTTGTTTATTCTAATAATATTAGCACATCAGAGCCTCGTATTGTTTATTTCATGCTCAGGCACAGTTTTTGTACAATAAATGATATTCTAAATATCAGTTACCTTCTAGCGTTTCGTTTTATTAAATCAGTTTGATTTATGTTAGCCAAAATAAAGTTGTAACAAACAAAAGAATAGTTTCTAGGTTAGTAGCGTGAATACTTACGTTCACACGAAAACGGTTTGTCGGGATCGCCCGGTGTGGGTTCGTAATTGTGCATGGAGGCGCGTTTCCGGCCTCGGCCGCCGCCCTTCTTTCTTCCTGGTGTGCCAGGGGAGTCAACGCTACCACTACCTCGACCCTAGATAATTTTATTTTATTATTTTATGTTTATTTTTATATTTTTTAATGAAAAAATAAACTTACTCTTCCTGTTCCTCGTCGTTTTTTCGCCTTGCGACTTTCTTCATAGTCTAGATCACTATCTTGATCTTGGTCGTCATACGGATCCATTTCGAGGAGTTCCGCTTCGTCGTAGTACCACTCTTTGGCCGCTACTTCATCTTTCAACATTTGACTATCTTTGCTGTCATTGTCTTGCATGATGCCGGGGTTTTCCATTTGTGAGATGGAGTGCAGGTCGGAGTCATCCATGGCTTCGAATCTACCGAATGGGCGGGTGTTGAGGAGATACTGGCGGCGTTTTTTACGCCATCTTGGACGCGGATATGAGTAGATTTGACCCGGCACCATCCCAGGCATTCGCTGTCGTTTTGACATGAATAGTTGCGAGTGGTTCTGGGCGACGCCGGTTTGGCTATCAAGGAAGGGCAGACGCATTCGGCGTTCGATCGATAGGCGAGTGTTGAAACTCGCCGAAGATTCGAGCGCTTCTTTATATGATGAGTCATTTAGAAAACTGTAAATAACAAAAAACAAAACAAATAAATAAAAACTATAAAAATACTAATATTTAGTTAAATAAACCGATTAAAAGCTATATAATTAATAATCAAATCACGAGAAAATTTTAGATAAAAATAAATAAGATTATATTCATACCTTTCAATTTTTTCGACGTTAACAGGATTGATATTATCAATAATGCAGGCAGCCATTTTGTCTGGTTGGGCGGCTCGATCGATTTACTTCAATAGTTTGTTTGTCACTTAATACTGCGTCGTTGTTATCACATAATAAACATAAATCACTACACAGTTATCTGCCGCCGATATGTTTTTATTATAATTTGACTTATTATTGAAGATTTACGACATTTTTTCTGATTACACAAACGCGCAGCGTCTGGCGTCTTCGGCTTCGGCGTCTCTGTTGAAGTATTCCATGCGCATGCGCCAAACATGAAGCCCATCACAATAGTTCCTAAAACCACCGCTAGAAACTAAAATCAAAATAATAAACTTAAATAAATTTAAAATCTAATAATTTACTAAATAAACTTATAAATATTTAAAAATTGTTATTAAATTTAATATGTTAGTGTATATTTTACTAGAATATTGTGTTTTGTTTTACTTACTATTTCTAAAACCAACAATTTTTGACATTTGTCAGCGTAATGGAAGTAAGTTTCGTTTGACTTCCGTTCCATTCCCTTCGAATCAAACGTTCGTGCAAACCGTTGCGTGGCTGCCGTATACAATCAAAAAATAAAACAAACGCGCTCATCACGAAATCCATTTGACACTTTCTCAAATCCCTAACATCACAAAGACAAAATTTGCTAAAGTGTAATCTCATCAAATCTTACTTCCATTCCACCGAAACTCCGCCCCCGCTGTCACTCCTGCACGATCCTGCGCACATTGCAGCGGCCCACTGCACGAAAACGTGATGGACGGTCGTAGGTTGTGAGTGCCGTTAAGCTTATCCGTTCCGCACGCGAGCGAAACGAGCGATACTCATCCGGGTGAGTCGCGGTCGCGGTTTCTAGCTGGCTCAGGTAATCATCATCGAATCATCCGCAATGACTAGTTTAACGCCACGCACGGCGTTCGGCATCGCCGCAGGCGTATGCGGCACGCTCTTCCTCGGCTACTGCATCTACTTCGATCACAAACGGCATAAAGATCCCGAATTCAAACGAAAACTGCGAGAGAGTAAGTGTATTCTTCCCGTATTACACAATGAGTGTTATAATATCATCCACCCTATGCCCTTTGCTGGCATAACTTGACCTTGAAATGCAAATGACTAAGGAAAAATGTATTTTAGAGAGGAGAGCAAAGAAGGCTGCTGGTAGTGGCAAACGCCACATTACAAGCTTCCCAAATATGAAGGACCACGAAGCGGTGCAACGCTTTTTCCTCCAGGAAGTTCAACTGGGTGAGGAATTACTCGGCGCTGGCGATTTGGAAAACGGCGTCGAGCATCTAGCGAACGCTGTCGCCGTCTGTGGACAGCCGAATGAGTTACTGCAGGTACTACAGCAAACGCTGCAACCGCAAGTGTTCCATCTGCTTATCAACCGACTGCCGAACATCGCGCCGCGCATTGTCGCGCACGAACGGAAGATGCAAGAGGACGACATTGAATAAGCGCATGTCATTGCCTTTTGTTGCTGCTAGTCGCGAAACAGTTAGATGTATGTATGTCCAGGATTTAAAAATGAACAACGTTTTAAGTAACGCTCGCATCTCCAATTCTCTTAACAAACAAGCAAACACCGTTTAATTCAAACAAAAAAAAACAATCTGCGCAACTACAAAATTTCTATTCCAAATGAAGCACCACTTTGGAAAATCTCATGTGTTACGTTTAAGTAGGAGAACACCGGCTCGGCAATGTTTTTCTTTTTCTCTCGCTGGGCAGACTATTGAATACTTGATGTAAAGTTTTGAATAAACAATGAAACCAAACAGCGCCGCGCTGATTATGTTATATATTCATTGAATCGTGTGAGATAGAACTCTGTATATGTAAAATGGATGGCCTGCATGCACAACTCTCTCGGTATATTTTTATTCCACTTGTTATGAAGACTTAAGATTCATATCTACGTTTCCCAGGGAAAACCGTGATTGAATTTGATGGAAAATTATAATAGACGATATATTGAACATGATACACATTGATTGAGGGCGATTTGCGTACGCGCAAACTTACAATAAATTGTTGAATGATAGATGTTGGCAATAAAATTCTAATGTTGGATGAGCACAGTGTTTTTATATCAAAAACTTTAGTTTTTGCTTTCTTGAAAAGTACAACAGCCATTTTGAATTAATACTGCAGTGACAGTGTATAACTTTTGGTGTATTATTGGTTGCCTATATTGATTTACTGGTTTATTATAAAACAAAAATTGAAATTTTTAGCTTTTCAACTAGAAATACTTGCATAAACAACTCTTAGTGTGTTCATTATATCAAAAACTTTGATTTTTATTGTTTTTGAAGAAGTATAACGGCGATTTAATTGAAATCCTGCTGTGACAGTGCATATTTTTATGTGTAATGTTGGTTGCCTATATAGCTATACATGCACTGGTCTCAAATGAAACAAAAATCAAAATTTTAAGTTTTCCAGCCTGAAATAGTAATAAAACATGCCTACATATTTTAGATGCATTTTTATATCAAAATCTTTGTTTTTTTCTGTTTTGGAAAAGTATAACGGCGATTTAAATGAAATTGTGCTGACAAAGCATATTTTTATGTGTAATGTTGGTTGCCTATATAACTATACATGCACTGGTCTCAAACGAAACAAAAACTCAAACTTTCAAGTTTTCCAGTTGAAAATACAAATAAAACATCACAGAAAGTTATGACAAATCTTATTTATTTTGTGCTATTGCTTTGTGTATATGTTCCGCCTAATAATTGTAACACGTATTTGATTTTCCATCGAAAAGAACGTTTTCTCATGAGCAGTTTGTGAAATCATAACAAGTCTCTTATCAATCTAGTATCGTACAAAACGCAATTGGTAATCGTCAGCCGTGAAAAACGTAAAAATAACGCACCTTGACTACAGTTTAAAAATGAAGCTTTATTAAATAATCAAATACTTATATAAATAGTGCCACCCGTTTTCGACTTTACCTTCGCTTACGTGTTTCATTTTATTATTTAACTTTGCTCGCTCGCAATTTCGTATTCCATTATAATCATATAAAAATCGACAATATGTTCATTACGTTTAGAAAATGGTGGTGGTGGGGAGGTGGTTGTCCGTTCGTCACTGGATTAGCGTTACGCGGTTCTTAACTGTTGGCTGATTGGTTGGGTGGTCCGACGCCGGAAAAACGAGTTGCAGAAAATGGGGTGAGTGTGACAGTCATTATTATTATTATTATTCTCAATCGAGCGATCGAAGGATAAGGTAGGAAACTATTGGCGATCGGTGGCACGCAGCTTCTCCTCGACGGCCTCTTGGCTAGCCTCCGACAGGTCGGTCGCCTGGATGTACTTCTGTACACCGACGAGCGACTTTTTCAGCGCGTCAAACGAACTATAAACAAAAACACACAAAATATTATTACTTAACCTCAATTCATAATAAAAATGTGTAATTACCTGGAATACAACATCTTCTTCTTGACTTTGGCGGTGTCGGGACACCAGGACATGAGGAAGAGCTTCTGCTTCTTCGAGGACTCGGACGTGCCCTGACACTGATGCATGTACTCAAAGTCATAGAGGCCGTAGCGGCACTCGCCGGCACCGCCCGCCTGCAGGTTGGTGAGGAACTGCTCGTATTCCTCATCGCGCGCACCGATCACCTCCACGTCGATCTGTCGCTCGTCCTTGATGAAGAAGATCACATAACGATGCTTCTTGTCCTTTTTGATCTCTTCGTAGGTTGTCTTGCAGACGTCTGAAACCGTCACTCCTGACGCCTGGAAAATAATGAAATGTCATTTTAAACATGGCCACCGAATGTTGTCACACAAGTTCCCTACATTAAAACATTAATTTTGCTTATAACTTATGAATGCGTCACGGGATTTTATCAAATTTGATATTAAACGAAAGAAAATAAAAAAACAAATAAAATAAAACAATTTAAATGTTTGTATTATGCTTGTATAAAAAGATATGTGCGTTTTAAAAGTCATAACCTAATAAAAATTGAGTTTTTGCTCTTTTCTTGGTTAACATGTATCTATATAAACGTGCGAGTCTAAATTTGAATTGGAAAGTGTTCTCGCAAGTTAAATTTAGTCGTAACACGAGTGGAGGTTGATAATTCGTCCGAAAATAACCGGCGCGCGTCGTGGAAGATGTCGAAGATGCGTAATTTTAATTTTATTGCACCATGTGCGTGTCGTGCGCTTGCATTGTGCATGTTTTGCTTTTTCTCGGCAACGAGCGAGGCGAGACCACATTTGTTCATAACCTTGACAATCGAACGATATCGCCGCCGGCGCATTAAACGCGTAAACACCTAAGATAATCAAAACTGATCAAATCAGGTGCGAGGCAAGATATGACTTTCATGAGTCAGAGAAAAATTAATCATATGGTGATAAACGCGAAACAAAAGTTATTTACGATGCGCACGCATACATAAATACATTTTGTTTAGTGAATATTCTCGAAATTCGAGTGGCATTTGTTTCTGGATTAACAGTAAACCCGACTAAAGCTTAATTAATGAAGCATCGAACCGGTACGCGCTCGCCTTTTACACTCGGCTGATTGTCAAAATTTAACCAACAAAAAAAAGAGAAACGAGAAGGCCTCTGCGGGAGCGCCGCCCAATTACTCAAGGGCTCACGTATACACGCACCCTTATCCGCTGCTGGAAATGCATGCGGCGTGCGGATTTTATGAATGAATGGGCGAGGCGTCATGAGTCATCTGCTGCAAGAAGCGACGACATTTTTAAGATCCACGACTCGGCCGGCCGGCCAAATTCGGCGATCGGCGAAAATACATGCTCACGGTATGGGTTGTGAAGCGACCGCACGCACCCATCGCAATTTGCCTGCGTGCCCCGTTCGTAAAAAAGCGTGCAAAAATAGCGGCGATATGGCCGACACACACTGCGTGTGCGAAGCACGAATTTGTTCACAACGCACACGCCGCCGCCGCCACCAGCACCAAAAAGGCATACACGCACGCACAAACACTAGTTTAATCGACTTACCATATTGAATTAACCGGGTGGCGAGAACGTGCAGCTGAAAAACGGATTGTAAACGCACCAGATGCACCGGACTTAGCGGACTGTACGTCGCTGGTACGCCGCTCGTCGGAGGTTCTGGCGGACGTTGATCTGCCGGCTGTCACAATGCGCATGCGCGTCGCGCGTCTCCGTTCCTACGCGATCGCCGACGACAAATTAAAACAGCGAATAATTCACGCTTTGATGACTGCTCGCTCGCCGTCGATTCGAATCACGACCATATACGGCCAACGCGCTGCGAATCCCGCCGATGGTCAGCGTCTGCGGGGCACTGGATTGTCGCTACTTGTGCGCGCTACACTTCGATGCGCTTTCACGGCGCCAACTTTCAAACTTATTTATAACAAAGTTGTCAACTCGAATAGGCGCAAATGTCGACTGCGAGCGATGTTATAGTCGCGCGTAGAGTCCTGCGCGTTGATAATGCATGCGTACAAGTCCTTTTTCGGTGGCAAAATTGTAGATTTTTGCCTATTTATGAGTCACCGATTTCAGCCAATCTAAAAGCCGGTTCCACCAAATGCCCATTTATGGGCAACGTGCGAATCCAAGATGGCGGCGGCGATGGCACGCCCGGCTCGGTCGATACGCGACGTGTAATCAACTTTCAAGTCGGGCATTCGTCAATCAGGTAAAGTCAGCGACACCTGCGCAATTGTTTTTCACCTCATTTGCAAACCACACCATATATGGTAATAGCAAATTACATACAAAACAAAACAATTCATAAAACATTTTTAAAAGTTGCATAGGCAACCAACAATACACCAAACAACGATCAATCGATAACCAACTTTAATACATAATTTTAAACATGAAACAAATTAAATTTACATCAAATTAATCGCCCCGACAATATTTACAACCCTGCCCTTGTACTTCTTCGAAATATCTTCTTCAATCTGCTTTTGTATAATCTTTGTCTTGTCAATTACCTGTTTAATAACAGGATTTATCTTCTTTATTTGTGCTGCATTGTCCACCATTTTGTCTTCAACCAAAGTTTTACTCGCTTTCATCCTGTCAACCACATCTAACTTTTGTTTTAGTGACGCTGTCAGCATATCAACATACTTTGGCGAATGTTTGATATTATGCAGATGGAATATTCTCTTATTCATCAATCCTTCAAGAGCGATACTCACATGATCAGCAAGAGATGTCACCCCTTCAATTGTTTGCATTTTTAAAACATTCGGACCGTCGAGCATGGTCATCATATCACCACCATTCGCCATTTCGTATAATCTCATCTTTAGGAAGGCATTCAACTCCATTAAGTCGTTGATTATCTGATCGCGTGTTTTCGGATTGTCTAAAATGGTATACGCATCATTTCCTTTGGCTATACCACCATCCAAACCGGAATTTTCAACTACAATGCCGGATTCTTCTAAGTTGATGTCAATATCAACAATTTCAAACTCCTCCTCTGTTGTGGAAGTGTTCCCCCAGTCTATGTCGCCTTCATTTGGTGAATCTCCGGGGGAATCACCAAAATCTATCTCTTTTTCTACGCTTAACGAAGAGAAATCTATCTGGACATCATCTCCAAAGTCAATGTTAGCTGATTCTTCTTTGTCTGTTGTGATAATTGCATCTGAAGTTGGTTCTTCGACACTTACAGGTTTCTCACCATAAGTGTACTCATAAGTTGTTGTGTTTCCATGTGAAATCAAATAAGATAATATTGGTAAAAGTGGAAGATTGTCATTCTTACCAGAATGATAGTTTATGAATGATTTATACATGTTAATACCATCTTGCAGTTCTTTAAAATCCATTTTTTTGTAAATCAATGGAAGCTCTTTCAAAAGTTCCAGTAATTCTGCCTTGATGTTCTTCCCCTTGATGCCTAGTTGCTTACAGGTGGCGTTAAAATCATTAATTGCAATTGTTTCAGCTCTGCTGTAATCTTTTATCTTCTTTTCTGACTCTTGCTGTGCCTGTTCACACTTGGCAATTTGTTTCTTCAAGCCTGGTACTTCATAGATGACATTTCTCATCATAAGTTGGGATGCTTCAGCTAGATAAATGTTTTCTTGTTGGTAACAACTGACAATATCTTGCCAGTCTTTCATTCTTTGTGACCCATAGCGACCAAACAGATTTTTAGTATCTGCTTCGGTTTCCTTGAGGATTTCGATGATTTTTATGCAGTGGAAGTAGTTGATGTGTTGGCCAGAGAGTAGTTTGACGATGCCATCGTGTGCGGGCATGTCCTGGATGGCTGCGTTGATTTTCTCGCGGATTTTCAAGATGTTCGCCTGCCAATCTTTGGAGACATGGCGACGACTCACCAGCCAGTCGAGGAGTTTGTTCGTGTTGATGTCGATTGGAATGTGCGAGTCATCCATGGTGTTTTCTTGAGTTTTTAATTGTTTAAAACCATAGAGAAGTAAACATATGTTTCGTGTTTATTTGGTTTGCCAAATCAACATTTGTCAAGATTAACCTTATTTATTTTCAAGGTCATTTGAAGATTCAAGATAAAAACAAATTAAAATAGTTTATTGTTGTAAAATTTACGATATTTTTATTTAAATAATTCGCGAGTGTTATTTTAAGTCATATTAATAATTATTACCTGTTTTATATATAAAACTTTTGAATTGTTTGTGTTTATGCAAACGTCACCAAAAATGACATTTGACAGCCATATTTGAAGTTTGATTTTGTAACCGTTTCTTTCAGTCGCGTTCAACTGTCGTGCCGTTGTGTTGCAGTGGGCTTGTACATTTTCGCCGCCGAGTTTTTGTTTATCGCAGCGACGTCGAAACACTCAGCAATCAAGGAGGCCTCGTGCACGCCCGGCCGCCGCACACCGAAAGGTACATTTTAGGTTGTAACATTCTTCCTCTTTTTTTTTCTCTTCTCTTTCCTTAATTTCCTTCATGCTTTGGTCACGCTGGCGAATCATGCGGGGCGTTCATCAAATCAAAATTCAATGAAACCAAAGCATCACAACAACTTCTTGTCGAAATCACAGTGTATAACGTTGTTAATCAAACGGGGTTTATCAATTCGCGCAGGCACCATGACCAAGAACCGGAAGGATCTGACGCCGAGGCACATCTCCAAGTTCTCCGCTGTAAGTCGAGCCACCAAACCGGCACCAAGTGCCAACATCCGGGTTGTCATACGGATTCGACCACCGAATTCAAAAGAAACTGGTGATAATTACAGGTAAACAAAAAATCTTTAAAAAATCAATACAAACATTAATAAAATGAATATTTAGATCGATCGTGAAATGTCGTGAAGCGAATTCGTTGATCTTCGACCCGGAACAAGAAGACACTCCATTTTTTTACCATGGAGTTAAACAGCGTCGACGTGACTTGCTAAAGAAACAACATAAAAATATACAATTCGTCTATGATCGGGTTTTTCCCGAAGCAGCAACCAATGAGGAAGTTTTCTGTTATACCACACGTGACCTAATCGACATCCTAATGGACGGATGCAACTGTTCAGTATTCGCATACGGCGCAACAGGCGCTGGAAAAACATACACCATGCTAGGAAAACCAGACTCACCCGGAATAACTGTATTAACCATCGGAGAATTGTTCATGCGCAAAGAAGAACTCTCCGAAACACGCGATTTCGAACTGTTCGTAACCTATCTTGAAGTATACAACGAAGACGTACGTGATTTATTAAAACACAGCGATAAACCACTCCAACTCCGTGAAGACGCACAAATCGGCGTGCGGGTAGCCGGATTAACACACAAAAAGATAAACAACGCGGATGAATTGTTTCATTTGCTCGATGAAGGCAACAAAAACCGCACACAACACCCAACTGATTCAAACGCGGAGAGTAGTAGATCACATGCAGTATTCCAGGTGTATTTAAAAATGACTGTGAGGACCACAGGTCAAGCAATCATGGCGAAATTAAGTATGATTGATTTAGCAGGGAGTGAAAGAGGTGCAGCGACTGGATGTAAAGGTCCCCGGTTTAAAGAGGGCGCTAGTATCAACAAAAGTTTACTTGCGTTGGGTAATTGTATTAATAGTCTTGCAGACGGGCAGAAACACGTCCCATACCGAGATTCTAAACTGACTAGAATCTTAAAAGATAGTTTAGGTGGCAATTGTCATACGGTGATGATTGCGAATGTGTCGCCATCTTCGATGACGTTTGAGGACACATACAACACGTTGAAGTATGCAACCCGCGCGAAGAAGATCAAGGCGAATGTTAAGAAGAATATCGTCGCTGTGGGCAAATCATCTGCTGAATACATCAAGGTTATTGAAGGTCTCAATGAAGAGATTCGTCTGCTTAAAGAGGAAAATTCGAGGTTAAAAGAAAGTCAAACTTTGGTTATCACCACGCAGAGTTCGGAGGAAATTACAACTACGACTTGTGAAGAGTTACCGACGAATGAATTGATGGTTTGTAACTCGGCTGTGACCGAAATAGAATCAGAAATACCTTCGGAAGATTTATCAGCGGAGATTGCTAATGTTAAGAAGTTGTTTAGGTCTTATTCGCAGCTTGAAAATGTTTTGCATTCGTTTGTTGTGAAGCAACAACTGCATGAGAAGCGTCTCCAGTTGAAAGATGAGGAAAAAACGCGTCTGAATGGGTTATTATCCACTTCACAGGATAAAGAACATAATATTCGGTTGATGGAGACTATGAATCGTCTGCGCAGGCGCTCTGTACCATACGAGAATGAAATAAAACAATTACAAGTCAAGATTGCGCAAATAAAAGAACAAATTAAGACAAAACTGCAAGAAAATTCGAAGTTAAAACCAATAATTGATGTGGAACAGATTCAAGTTGATGCTATACGCGCAAATAATGATGTAAGTTGTGTAGATGGTATAATTTGCTTGAAAATTAGTGTTTATTGTTACAGAAACACACATTCGAAGCGCTGGTCAGTATGCAAGCGTTTGAGTTACAAAAACGTGGCGAGTTTATGGAGCAATCTTCGCATTTACTGCAAACCTGGCATGTTTTACTCACGAAACGTGGTTTGGTCACCAAGGAAATGCAAGATGTGTTTGATAAGTTGCATACGATGAATGCGTCAGAGTTACAAGATGGCGGCGATTCGGGTTTGAGCACTGCATCCGGGACAACGAGTAATTCAGCGCTTACTGTCACCACACTGGTGGATCCATCGCGAACGATAAAACGCACCGGCAAGCGTAAACTTGAAGGTTCGGAGGGTGGTGATTCTAATACGGACATGGATTCGACTTTTGCGACATCACACAATTCACTCTTCAAAGGTGGGCTTATTCATCAGTCTCTGACTGCGATCGCCGGCGAAGTGATTCACAACGCCATCGCGAGCCTGAGCAGTTTTCGCGATAAACTCACATAACCATGCATGTCTCAAACTAACCTCAACCATGTACAATATTTATATTAAATTATATATTTGGTATTTTGTCGTTTTAGAATTGCAACCGACGCCTTCGAAGCGTATGGCGAAGGGTGTACCGGCGCGACAATCGCCGCGCATCCGCAAACAGAAAGAAAACAAAGCCACGGAACTATTGCGAAGGATTCGACGGCCGGGCGTGAATGTGGAGATATCTAGGCATGCGCACAAGGCGCTGCCGGTGCAAACTGGGGCGAAACCGCCATTTAGGTGAAGTGTCACCTTGCGGTAATTTCTTTATGGTTTTTATCTTTCACTTTTATCCGAGTGGTGGGGTTCTGATAAGTTTATGTATGTATATTTTTATATTTTTATATCGACGATGCTCTCCATACTCTACGAGAGCTTTAAATAGCTAGTAGGGACTTTTTGAATTCTCTTAGTAAAAAAAATTAATTTAACTCGGCGTTTATGACTTAAATGCATTGAACAACCATCGACGTTCGATGTTAGCGCCGATGCCGACCAACTCCTGACTAAAGACGCTTGGGAAACGTGACATTAACACCTCCAGGTCAGAGGGGCGTAGATTTGACTCTAGTTTGGTCACATATGACCAGATATAATCCAGACCGGCGCCGAAGGGATGCACGTTGAGGAAAGCTGAGATTATTCCAACGAGGCGTGCGTCTGCGTTGTTGAGAGTGTTGAGATTCGTTGCTTCGGAGGTGGAACCATTGACTGGTAGCGGTGTGTGAGTATGCGTGTGACTAGAAGAATCGGAAGATATCGAATCGGTTTTTTCTGATTCAGTATCGTCCAGGTTTATGGTGCCGTCGATCATTTGTTGTTTTAGCTTGGATTGTAATTCGCGTGATCGCGATTCTTCTTCGGCTTGTTTTTTCTTTACGTCTAGTAATTGTTGTTGCATTCCATGCAAAGTTTGTTGTAAGACTTTTATTTGTTTTTCTTTATCGTCTAAGTCTTTCTGGAGGTCCATTTTAACAACTTCCACCTTAAAATATTAATTTTTTAGTTTATTATAACTTAAATATCATATTAAAGTACTTTAGTCACGGGTTTTGCCTTCCGTGACTAAAGTGTCACTTTTCGTGTCGCGAAACTGTGAAAAAGTTTAAAAATGTAAAATATTGTTACCTCATTCTTATATGCTTCCATTTGCATGCGTAAAGCGTTATTCTCATCTTTTAATTGAACATTTTCATCTTGTACAAGATCAACTTTGGTCCGTTTGCGTGGAATGGCTTCCTCTTCATCCGAGACGTCCATTTCGTCATCGCCGCGCTCCTGCGACGCGGCTTCCAACTCAATTTGCACGTTTTTTATCTCCTAGAAATCCAGAAAGTGTCAAAAGCGTTCCAGAACTGCGTTGTGAGAACTCGTCGACGTAACTCGTAACTCTTACAAACTGAATGTTTATTGATGCATACGTTTTTGGTACAGTGACGGCCACGGCCACGATTAAAGGGAGAAGATTGAATCGAATAAGATATAGTAGAATATATAGAATATAAAAAAATGGCTAGCTAACCGTTCGGCACGCCAGTGTGCCCACAAACACTTGTTCGAATGGTGACTATACTCTCGGCGACCTTTCGTCCTCGTTTAAGGGCTGAATATGTGTAACCTACCTTGGTGTGCATTTTTGTTTCGTTAGCAAGTCTAGCTTACCTTGAAGCATGATATCGACAATAATAGTAGATTGTTATTTTTTTTGATAATTTTGGTAGCCCGTACGCTAGTTTCGAGGAGGCAAAGTGCGTTCTTTTACACATTGATTCGACTAGATACAGGAGAACTGTTTGGATGGCGGTGTGTGAGGGGTTGTAATATCTGGTTAGAGGGGTACGTACCATCGACTGTTTCTTCCACATCTCGATGTTCTTTCGCTGCGCCTTGGTGAAATGGTCCCAGACCTTCTTGTGACACGCAGCATTGAATAAGCGCTCTATTTGACTGACTGAGAGAGACAGCCACACATACGCAAATGAACCACTTAGTTATACTCCAAATCATTAACATTATTAACAATTAAAGTTTAAAGTGTGTTTGCCTTATACTTTAGGTTGAAACAATCAAGTTTCATTCAGGAAATATTCAAACCAAATGCAGTATAGCCTCATTATAACGCATTATACAGCTTCTCTGTGTAATTATGAAAAATATTTTAATTTTTAGCAATTATGAGTTAGAATATTTTTTAAAGACATGACATCGATGGTAACATTTGAAATATTGTTGTAATTATGATCCCAACATCCCTACAAATTGCAATGCAAATTTCTATAACTTAAGCACGATTTATCAGCTAATTTGTTGGGGTGCACGTTGCGTTACTAGAAAATCATTTAAACATAACACAAGTGAATACAACTGAGCGACGCGGAATTCATATTTAGACTTCAGGAAATATTTACCGGCATTTTTACAAGAGTAATTGAGTTTATAACCAGCTAATAAAAGATTAATCACGCCAGAACGCGTAAAATTTCAATATTTGGGTATTTTTGTATTTTTCTATGTAAAACCTAATTTTTAGGTTAATTTTACGAATCATAACCTCAAAAAATAACTTTTTTGCATTTTTAACTTAAACAAACGTAGTTTTCTAGCTCTGCACATATTATTTACGTTATTTCACTGTAATGCTATTACTTTCTTGTTTTTGTTCCTCGGTGTAACATTTTGATATTTTCCAATTTTTAAACTCTAAATGTTGAAAATAAGTGAAAACATACTTAGCATAATTACCTCTTTAGTCTATAAAGCGTCGTTATAAAGAGGCTACACTGTATTAACATTAAATTCATATAATTTGGCATGAATACTGAATGCAAACTTAATCTTTCTACTTTCTGCCTTAAAAAAACCTCGCTTGAACTGATTGTTGCGTCGTTCGTCCTCTACATTCTGACACATGTGCTGTTCGTATCGACCCGACCAATTTGTTCTCAATTTACCTACCGAACTGCGCAAAACAGCAAATGTGTGTAAATTAGCTCGATGCAACACTTTCGTCAGCCGCGTACGTTCTGATTCGTGATTGTCCGACCCCTCACATACTTACCTAAAGCTTGCGCAAGCTTTCAAAGGATGAGTAAAATAAAAAGTTACAAAACTAATGCAAAATCAGTACTCACATTGCAATAGAATGCCTTGCATGCGTCCCTTCATGATTTCACGCGCTTTCTGCAACTCCTCTTCGTATTGGACTTTTTCGGTGAGAAGACGCCGCACGTGTGAATTTGTAGACTGAATCATTGAGTAGAAATTGTTTGCGTTGCGTTTGCTGCAATCACCTCTCTCCAACCATGTAATAACCACCTAAAAATGTAAAAATTAACTTTTTTTGTGTGTTAATATTAATAATAACATACCAAAACAGCTTTTGTGAACGTATCATCCTGTTTAATCTTCTCTGAAACCGCAGAGGCTTCATGATCCGTGTAATGGACAACCGGAGGCGGTGATGGCGGCCGTAGACGTTCCTCTTCCATGCGTTCTCGATGTCTTTGCTCTCGTTGAAGCTGCCGCTGTCGACATTCCCACTCATATTGATCATCTCTAGCCTAAAACATCAAAAAATTAACTTTTTCTTCTCTTTTTTTAACAAAAATCATCAATAATACCTGCGCATAATCAACATGTAATCTCCCAGTGTTAGGTGGATCAGTATTCGACCCAATCCTAACCCTATACCCAGATAAAAAGATGGCGGCGTCCACTGACGCCTCATAAACGAATCTAATATGACAAAAGTTCTTCTTGCTCAGTCTCAGCGTGGTAATCTCACCACACCGTTCAAATACTTCCATAATAATCTCCTCAGTCATATTCTCTGGTAATCCACCGACGAAAATCGTCCTGCATCCTGGTGGACGTTCACGTGTCGTCGGCGCAGGCGCAGTAGGACTCGGCGGAAACAATGTACATGATTTACAGTGTACTATCTCTTTAGTAGGAGTGTTAATCAGTAAAGAATCTGCTGCTGCTGGTGTGGTTAATAATGTTTCAGATGTGGCTGTTATCATTGGATTCATCGGTGGCATCATTCCATAGTTATTCATTGTCATTACATTGGGATCCATGATCATATTCATGCCAACCATGGGATAACTCATTCCCATCATACCGGACCACATGCTGGGGTTCATCGGAGTCGGGGCACTCTGGAGATTCATTACGTGACTGTCGGAGTGTGTGGATGTTGCGTTTGATAGGTTTGAGTCGTCGTCGCGACACTTGGAGAATTCACGATCGCGGCTGTCGCGATTCATTCGCATTGTCGTCATTGTTTCCAGGTCGACGAGATCGTCAGTCTCGTCCAGGGAACGATTGTGTAGTTTGTTGCGGTTCATTATTTGTTGTTCAAACATTTAATTATAGGTGAATCTGGGGAGAATTTTGATTTATTAGTTGAAGTTGAGGAAAAAATAGCTTAAATACTCACCATTTTGGTTATTTTTATAGGTAAATATAGAATAACACAGGGAATTAATGATTTATAATGTTTTATGTTAAGTTTTATGCGTTGTGTGAGATTCTCGTTGTATCTTATTGTTTGGTGCAATGTTTAATCGATTATTAAATTGTTAGCAAGACATTTGGGACTGCGACTGCCTGGTTGCGGTTGTTGAAGGTTATTTGGCTGCCGACGTTTCGCCTTGTGCCAAAAAATTAAATTTTTATAAGTTTGACAGAGAATTGATAAAATTACACATATATAAATCAGTTTAATATTAAATTCATATAAAATAGTTTAATATTATACAAAATTTGTTTATTTTAGCGTTAAAACATTCTAAAATCTGAAATGTTTCCAACGGCGAATTGGCTCGCGTCCAAACGACGTACTCCCACAGTGAAACTGTCAAACAGTTCCCATTTTCGGGCCTAGATGGCGCTAACTGTCCACAACTAGACTAAAATAAAACAGAAATTATTATCGGTTGCAAACTTTGCACAAAAAAGACTTGTTTACGTTTGAATCAGTTCCAGTTTGATACACGTGCAATCACTCGCTTGTTTATTTTATTAATACAACAAGTTATAGCGTAATCAATCTTCGGTTCAATTTAGTTGTCAGTATAAATTGTGGCGATAATCTATTTCGAATCACGCCGACTTTTAAGTTCGTCAACGAGCCATGCGATACTTTGCACAAGGCCGCCGATCACGACATCAGCGATTGCAACAGCCGCATCAACTTCCGATCCGCGTGAGTCGATTTCTCACAGCTCACTCAGCTGAGCAAGAAATTGAGATTTAAAGCATTAGATAACGCGCTGGCTGCATCGACGTAATGACAAATTAATAGCGCTGTCATTCAGCGCGTTTTCTACTGTTTCAAGAGACGTGTGCATGTCGTGGGTAAGTGTATGTTTTGTTCGTGGAACCGTTTGTCCTTCAATTGTTGTAATTGTGAATTGTGAATTAAACTGGCAAAGGTGCAGTTAATTTCTAAGAATGGCATAGAATAATTTTACAATGGTTTTATTAACTTACCGGTAAAATTGCGGTTAAAATCAGGAAAATTTTAAGTTTTTTCTATTTTTTTGAAGGAAAAGTAAATAATTTTTGTTTAGTCAATGAAATTACAACTTTATTTATTTTTTATGCGTTGATTTAGATGTAATTTTACTTTCCGTTCATTGTGATGATTGTTTCTTGTTTCCTGTTTTGTTTCATGAATCATGAGTAAAACAATGCACAGGAACGCAAACTAATGAATAGAATAAAGAGGTAATTAATTTGTGTATTAATTACCAAGATAAGCTCAGTAAACGTATAATGCAAGTACATTTTGAGCAATGTGTAGCACAAATATTAAAATTAACATTTTGGGAGTTTTATTGCCGAAATAAAGATAATTAATTGAGTACAAACAAAATAATTCAAATTATTAACACAAATAGAGCGATAAATAACAGAGAAATATGAGATGTGAAGAAATAATTTAAATAATGGAAAACAAACAGTATTATGGGAATTAAGAGTGAAATTTTGCATTGAAATTTAAATATTAAGCATAATATGCTTATTTTATTAATAAAATGGGTGAAAATTATGATACTTATTGCAACACTTGGTATATTTTTAATTATTACGTATATTTAAAGTTTAAAACTTGTAAAATATCAAAAAAATAACAAAATATTGCTATTTTACGTGAATTGGTATCTGTTTAATCTTTTGTTGCGTTGATTATTAACTCAATTTTTCTAGTAAAAATGCCCGTAAATATTTCCTGAAGTCTAAAAATGAATTCCGCGTCGTTCAGTTGTATTCACTTGTGTTATGTTTAAATGATTTTCTAGTAACGCAACGGGCACCCCAACAAATTAGCTGAAAAATCGTACTTAAGTTATAGAAATTTGCATTGCAATTTGTGGGAATGTTGGGATCATAATTACAACAATATTTCAATTGTTGCCATCGATGTCATGTCTTTGAAAACAATATTTTAGCTCATAATTGCTAGAAATTAAAATATTTTTTGTTTTTATACGAGAAATTAATATAAACCAACCATGTTGTACAAATTCGACGTTAGGTTAGTTCTTAAATCCGCTTGTAGGGGGCGCTTTGGGAGGATGTAGAATCAGCGAATTATATTTACTCTAAACTGCACTTTGTTAACCATAATAAGCTTATTTAATTTACGAAATGAGCTAAAAATAAGATACTTATAGTCACACCAGATATATTTTTAATTATTTCACACGTTTAAATTTAAAAAACCTTAAACTATCAAAAAACATTTTAAAACAAGTCAATATTTGTATTTTCTGTGATTTTAGTTACAGAAATGCTTTAACGTAATAATTATTCCAACTTACAGCGCGCTAACAGATTGTTAAGAAGTCAGAAAACCTTAATTAACATTTGTAATTACATTTACAGAACTAACGAACATTACTTAAAGCGCACAACATCAACTAATCAAAAACAACGCTGAAAACAACGAAAAAACATCAAAATCTAATATTTCCTGTGACTGTACTCGTTCACCAACTACGCGTTTCTTTAAAGTTCTATTTCTATTTTCCATTCCATCTTCAATTCAAGTAGGAAATTGGGCATCACGCACCCAGCTTTATTAACTGCTATTTGTAGACGTTTCTAGGCCAATTAAAAGCGCGTCGAATGATGATGACACTACCAAAACCCAGAAAACAAAAGATTAATGTTTATAACTAAATATAAACATTTTGAGTATTATGAGTTGATACTCATGTAGAAAATACTTTAACGCCCCCTATGTTTGAAATATTTAACTATAAGTGTCATTAAATATCCATATAAACTTTAATCCTTTATTTTACACCCTTCAAGTTATATTTTTGCAACAAAAAGTGGCCTACATTATTTTCCAAGGTCTAAACTATATTTTCACCAAAATTTATCAAAATTACTCCGATGGTTTTCCCGTAAAAGCGTCACAAACAAACAAATTGACATTTTACTTAAAATTTTTGTTTTAAACATTCCTACGCCAATTAAAACGCGTAGAATGATAAAAACAAAAAGATTAATGTTTATAACAAAATATAAACATTTCAAGTATCATGATTTGATACTCTTGTAGATACTTGTCATCGTGTACATTATTGTATAATACTCGAAACAGTTGGAGACGAGATGAGAATCGATGATCCCCGTTATTGCCAACAAGCCAACAAACAAACAAACAAAACACGATCTTAGGTACAACTTACACCAACCTAAAAGAAAGAATCACATAATAATAAAATAAAATAAAAGAACATCAACGAATCAAAACCAGGACACAACTTATGCACGATTAAATATTTTCAATGGTGTCTAAGTGTTCCTACATTTACATTTCACAGAATATCATCCGCATAAAGCCCGAGTCAATTTCATGTATATTTTTCCGTGTTCGATATATACGAATGTGCGAACGCTTCGAGCCGAGTTCAATACCTTTAACCTCGCCGGTCGCCGATGTCTGCATAACTCACGAAATTGTTATCCGCGCGCGCCCACGCCTCGAAATTAGGTGCATGTGATGCCGAAGAGATGAATGGCACCGCGAATGAATGATAAACGTGGTCTACATTCGTGTGCAAAGCGAAAAAACGCGCCGCAACGCGAGCACCAAGATGGCCGATATTGTCTTGCGTATATAGCAGTACATACAGGTTAATTTATGCAAATCGCGAGCGTCGCACGGGTAAAATTCGTGGATGCATGAGAAAAAGAGCAAGTGCTCGTAAATCACTGTGTTGCAAATTGTTGCAAATGTTTCATCTTTGTGCGATGCCGCGAAAGAATTGAGATATAAAGAATAAAGAAGATTTATTCTGTGAACGGTTAAAAATGTGTGAAGTAAGGTGTTGCATGGGTTGCATAGGTATGTAAAATTTTGGTATCTTGATTGTACCACCAGAGGGCGCTGAATAAAGTGTTGAACGTGTTGTAACAGTGGTACATAAAATATTAGTACTACAAGTGTATCACCAGAGGGCGCTGGGTTATTAAAAGTGAAAGGTTTACTCTGTGAGTTGTGAAATATGTGTGAAGTAAGGTATTGTAGGGGTTGCATATCATCGCGGAATACTAGTAATATAAATGCACCACCAGGGGTCGCTAGGTTATTGTAAGTGAAAGGTTTACTCTGTGCAGTGTGAAATAACTGTGAAGTAAGGTTTTGTATTTTGACCTACGTAGAACATTAGTAACACAAATAAACCACCAGAGGGCGCTAGGTTAGTGATTCATTTACTATTATACTTCCCATATTACTTCTTTCAGTTTAAACCGAAAAATAAATCAAAACTTTAACTTTTAATCAATAAAAATTAATTTACCACTGCATATCTTCTATTTTATGGTTAACTTTAACCATACTTTCATATTTAATATGAACGTCATCTTGTATTCATAAACATTTCACTCTACATTTCGAAAAATGAGCTCAATGAAATTTATGATAATTTCAATATAAACTCAACGACTTTACCGTCTTCTCAACTCAAAGCGGAAGTTGTAAAGCAGTTCTATTAGATAACATCAGATCATCAGCGATTTGTCTCTTCTACGGCTTTCAAAACTCATCAAACCAGCGCGCAGCGAAATTAAAACGAGCAGATAAATGTTATTTATGTTTCCACTTTTTATTAAACAGATATTTAGAGGATATTAAACGGAGATTAGCGATTTACATTTATTAAACGACTTTTTACAAAGTGTGAAAAAATTTAGTTTAGTTAAACGGTGAAACAATTGTTCATTACTAAGCGGAAGGTCGCCAATCTGTGTTTTGTCTTTCGCATCTTGATTAATGAATTTTTAACCATTGAACAAACAACATCCTGCATTAATTACATCACAAAATTTGCGTATTTGCATCCTGCGATTTAACTAGTTAATTATTTAACCTTGAAAGTTAAAACCTTCAAAATTTAGCATAAAATATTGACATTGTGGTTAAACTAATGTCAATTAACTGTCAAAATATTAAAAACTAGCTTTAACCCGCGGTTTCGCTCGCGAATATCTTAAATAATGAAGTTGCTTCCGTATGCGTCTGTAGTCACAGAAGAAGTAACAATGAAGTAGAATGGCGGGAAGTTTAAAATGGCTGAAAGTATAGTCTATGGAAGTATAGTGTACAGTCTCCATAGTGTAGTCAATTGGATTTGATGTTGACGTAGCTGTCGGTAATACAGTGTGATAATACAGTGTGATGGTACTAATAATAGGTTTCAGCTTCATTGCTGGAATGCTAGATGGCGTTAAAGTAGTTAAATAGCCAGATGCAGAGGTATTATTGGATAAACAATTTCTTTATTTTATTTAAAAAATAATTTTTTTTATTAAATAAAAAGTAGCCTATAACCATTCGGGGACCACTAAGAATATGTGTACAAATTTTCATAATGATCTGTTAAGTAGTTATTGCGTGAAAGTGTAACAAACATCAGGACTTTCGCATTTATAATATTAGTAGAGATGTCGGATTTACGTCATATTTAGTTCAAATATAATCCGTAGTGGCGTTTTTGATAGGGTTGGGCTCTATAATCTTCATTTATGTACTAATAGTAATAAAAAAACGCGTAAAAAGTTTATAAGCAGATATCTAATTAATTTCAATAAAAGCGAGCGTGTGTTACGTGGTTGGTGTTAATGGACGATGATGGAGGGTCAATAAAGACTGTTTGTCTGCGCTGCGGGCGGCTCCTGCGTCTCCTGCACGTCCTGCGAATGAAATGCACCGGGCGCACCTTCGCCACACGCAGTCTGCACACAAAGCAAACTCTACTGCTGCCTAATCATTATTAATGAATTAATTAAACAAGAAAATTGCATTTTTATTGAGTTTTTTCTAGAAAAATGATAGAAAACTCATTTATTAAGTATTGCAGAGAATTTAACGCCATCTATGCTTCAAATAAGTAACTATAATTACGATTAAATCACTATTTAAACTTTCATCCCCAATTTTACACCCTTTAAGTTATTTTATTCGGATAAAAAGTAGTCTATGTCATTTTCCAAGATCTAAACTATATTTTTACCAAATTTTATCAAAATAGCTTCAGTGGTTTCCGCGTAAATGCGTCACAAACAAACAAATTCACATTTTTATGTAAAATTTTGCTTTAAATTAAAAAATATCCAGTTATAACTAATATTACGTCTATTATTAGTCATATTTCTTAGCATTTAGCATTGTTTTGCATCATATTGTTCTCCATTACTCTACGTTCAAGTTACATCGAGTATTATTGACAGTTTCTGGACTAGACTAAACACCGCACCACAGTAGCACGCTAAAACCAAAGAAACTGCAGCTATAAATGCCTCCAAGTACAACCGCATTAAAAATTTTTCTGGTTTTGTTTTTCATTGACTTCATTCATTCATTCGTTGAGAAACGAATTTTCCGTCGCACTTTCACTCACTTAGTCATTATATATTTTAATCGCGGGTTGAATGAAGTCACCGTTCGATTGTTCTCCGTACCACATCGGTTTGCGCGCCGTTCGCATTGTTTTTGTGTTTGGTTGGTGTGTATACAGGTATAGGTAAGGTAATGGCGCAGTGGCGCGCTTAGACGGACGCGTGGTGAAGTGAAGTGAGGCACAAAGTGAAGCACAGCGCGAAGAATAGTTTTCGGTTGGGTTTGTAGCACGTGCATATCAAACGCAGCGCGCGGCTCGCGTCGTTCGCACACGGTGTGTTTGCAGTCGTTGGTTTTCCGCGCCGGTAACTGACGTGTATACGTGAAATTTTAAAGTGTGTGAGGTGCGAAAATATATCACGCATGTCATAGACATACAAAATATAATTCGCATAATTGAGTTTAGGCAGGGACTTAGCGTAGTAGAGTGAACTGGAAGTGTTTTATCTGTTTGCTTGATAAAATGTGATGTTGTTTGTAAACATTGTGTGTACGTACTTAAAGAATGTTGGATATTTCATTTAATTTCTGACGTTTTATGGAAAAATTTAAAGAGAAAGGTAATATTTAATGATTTTTTAAATTTGATTGATTGTTTTGATGTAGGCAATTTTAATTTTATTTAATTAGTATTCATTTAGTTAATTAACTAATCTTATTTTGTTTGTTTTTAAATTTTAACTTTTTTTATTGTGGTTTATTTATTAACACGTTTATCTGTGGTGATGTTAGCTACTCTTAATTAATATTTGTTCTCGAACAAAGTCCTGATATATTTCGAGCTTAAACCACATTTTATTAGAATAGAGCAATTTGTGGTTTGCATCTGAAGTTATAGTAAAACAACAAAATTGATACAAAAAATAGTAAAATGATTGATTGGTAAAGTAATTATGGTAATTTCATTAATAATATCATTATAAAATAATTATTTTCAAATGTGCTAAATATTAGTAATTAAATAATATACTTGTATAGCTTGGTTTATATTAATTTTCGTTATAGTCATAGTTTTCTCTGTGTAACGACGAAAAATATGTTCATTTCCAAGCAATTATGAGCTAGAATATTTTTTTAAAGACATGACATCGATGGTAACATTTTGAAATATTGCTGTAATTATGATCCCAAATTATCCCTACAAATTCTCGTACGCAAATTTCTTATAACTTAAGCAATGATTTTTCAGCTTAATTTGTTAGTGCACGTTGCGTTACTAGAAAATCATTTAAACATAATACAAGTGAATACAACTGAGCGACGCGGAATTCATATTTAGACTTCCGGAAACATTTACCGGCATTTTTACTAGAGTTATTCATAGATTATAACAAGCGCAAATAGAAGATTAGACACATTCTTGTGCGCGTAAAATCAAAAAAACATTTGATTATTTTGTTATTCTTCGATGTAAAGTCACCTTTGCTAACATACAAACATCTCTTCGTCGAACATTGATATAAAAGAGGCTACACTGTATTTTGAACATAAAGAGTATAACATTAGCAACATTAAACAATATATTTTCAATTAAAATATTAAACTGAAAAACACATCATAATCTTAAGTTTTTTCTTTAAACGTTTTTGTAAGTTTTACATCGATTTATTTTTGCCCATTCATAAAAACATAACCGTAAACTTGTTCAATGTTCCTTCCTTAATGTTCCAACTCTTAGCAATTTGTTTAAATTTAAAATTCGCTCCGTAAACGTAATTTATTACGAATCGCTCGTGGGCCCGCGCTGGCTCGTGTTTACGGATATGAATTTTCGTGGCGCGACGAGTAATCGAACGTACCGAACTGAATCATCGAATAATCTAGATCACCATTTTGAAACCAAGCCGAGAAGAAATCTGTGTGCAATTACGTGCGCCGATTACATGCTCATCTATATAACAAACTCAACGATAATAATAATAACCACTAAATATAAAACTTTTAACTCAAAAAATAATTTACACGAAATTTTTTCTCCAAATCGTGTTTAAATCAATAAATTCTGATTTATAAGGACATAATTTGACTTCGGTCCATCATTTCAATCAAAACACACGCTAGCATCATTAAAATCAATTAAATTAAATGAATCCGCACGCGTTCCGAAATGAATTCGCGCAATTTTCGCTTGTTAGTGTCAAATTACGTCTGTTTGATGTTTTTCATACGGCGTATTGCTCTAAAAATGTCTTCGATGGTTGTAAATTTGCATGAAGTAGGCATATAGTTTTTCACTCGTCGTGCCAGATTCGTTTTTGTTGCGCGTTTGGCTCGCAGCTCGCGTCTTAATTCAATCGAGAGCGCTTTTGTTGTCCTAGGCCAGAAATTGTTTGCTCGTCATCGTGTGCCAGTTCTATGCTTATGAAAAATTGATAATTACCGCGCACCAAAAATGCACGCACGGACGAATATAGACTATTTTCGTTTGTTTTACACCCTGGAGGGATTGAAAGTATGATTTGTACTAGATTTTTGTTTTAAAATTTTTAAATCGCGACTTTATGGTTAGATTTGGTTGGGAGGTGAATTTTGAGGTTATAGGGTGACTGCACCAGTAATACACCATTTAAGCGTCATTTTGAAAGTAATTTGATATTGTGACTCACTATTACAATAATCAGTGTGAAAAAGAGCTACATACTTTTGTTTACCATAGAATCATGTAGCTTATTCCAATTTTTCATTAGCTATATAGGTTTCTGTTATTTAACGATAAATGTTGAAAATCGCAATGTGCCTAAGGTTGACCATAGACTGTACCAGCAGTAGACCAGACGCTGAGCCAATAGTGAACCAGTTTTTTATGCACAATCATCACAACTTTCATCAGTCTATGTTTCAAGTAATACTTAAATGCTACAGGGCTTATAATGCTATTAACTAATTTAGACTAGATATTTATTACAGATCACGACCACAACTGAGAACCAATATTTATGAATTACTGACCACATACACCAATAAGAAATAATTATCGATTATTGCCATATCGACTATTTTATATTATCGTACTGTGGGGTATGTTGTATTTTCGACATATTTCCCTAATATTTGCACCTTTACTTATTTCTGTCAATTGCTTTTAACTCATCTTCCTCCTTTAGTTAAAAAAACATTCTTTTGGCAGCATTTTGTATACAAAAAAATGTGGGTGGTCAATTACAGGAATGAACTTGGTAATAGATATTACCAGTAGTAAAACCACTGGTCTACAACTGAACATTGGGAATAATGGTATTCTTTGTTATAATATTTATTGCAGCATTATGTAAACCTACACAAGAGAGAAAAAATAAAAAATATATCAATAAAGCTAAATCAATTAATTGTAGACCAAATGGTATTACTGAAATCATTCAATTCGAGTTCCAGTAGCTTCTACCAATGGCAATTATTGATTTAAATTAGCATTTTCAGATTAAATAAAACGTAATATTAATGCTTCACAGTGCATAGTACGCAATTGATTAGAAAAGCGGTTACAGAAATTGATATAAAACAAAGATTTACACTGATTTAAGAAAACTTTCGTCGACGTGTCGCTTATTAGAATGGCCGCTCGAAACGAAGTACGATTGTCGTTACGAATTTTGCTTAAAACTAATATGGATGGCGCATTTGTCATTTTTACGACTATATGATCCATAGGTCTACCGACAGTTCTATCAAATATTAAAAAGTGGCGGAAAGTTCGACAGAACGTTAATATTTTAATGTAAAAGTGGAAATGGTGCACTACTGGTGCCTGGTGCGGCACTGGTGCACCCACCCTATATGGGGAAATTTGATGTTTGACAGTTGAGTTACTTGTGGAAATGACGTCAGTGTTGAGTTTTTCGCGCCTTTTTGTGTTTTTCAAATATTTTTACAATTTTTTGCATTTTTTTAAATTTTAAATTAATTAAAATTAAATTTAAATTAAAATAATCATTAACCTTACATTTAATAGCAATAATTCATGTTTCCTATTCTTTCCCTTAAGTTTTAATACAGAAAATTTTAATTTTAATGATTTTCTGTTTTTTTAACACGTTTCTAACCTAAAAAACGCCTTCTAACATAAAATGCTTTTGTTTTCATTGAAATAATGCAACATTGTAGAATATAATAAATGAAAACAATGTCGCAATGCAATAATCTCTGTTTTTTGTTGTGTGTAGGTGCATCCGACGCGCATGAATCACATGCACATAAATAATTTACGTAACTAGAGGGAACGACTATAACAACGACATCGCGACGTCCTACGACACGCTCCTTGGGAAAGTGCGCCAATAATAAATATAAAATAAATTACCAAACGCCTTGGATTGCAAAAAATCCAATTAAACAATACAAACAGTGAGCAGTAAAATTTAATTGACTAAATTGACAAAATTGACAAAATCAATTGAAGGTTTTTTTTTGTTTTCAAAGGAGACAACGAGACAATGAGAACAAGGTGAACATAAACAAGTAAATTATGGTGCGTTATGCGTGGTTAAATGACTGAAAATGTGCGTGCAGAAGAAAATGATGAAAGTTATGCAAAATTGATGTCGTGCGTGCTGCAGTTGGTTAAGTATGGTTATGATTTATGCGCCGGGGCCGCGGGATGGTCGTCTGCCCGGTGGAAAAGCGTAATATCTAATTGAAATTATCGATCGTGGACAAACGCGAAAGTATCAGTGATAGTGCGGTGTGTATCTATAGTGAGGGGGAAAATGGCGTACGTTGTCTGGAGAGTGTTTATGAAGAAGTATTCCAAGGTGCGCCTGGGTATACACAAGGGGAATGCGCATAATGTGAGTACTGTTTGCATTATATTTCTTATCAAATTCAACATGATTTTTTTATGTTAACGTTTCTTGATTTAACAAAGATACTGCGTGTAACGGCGGAATTTGTGCAACTTTGTTGGTTTATATTAATTTTTTCGTTATTGCGTTACAGTTTCTCTGTGTAACGATGAAAAATATTTTAATTTCTTGCAATTATGAGCTAGAATATTTTTTTAAAGACATGACATCGATGGTAACATTTGAAATATTGTTGTAATTATGATCCTAACATCCCTACAAATTGCAATGCAAATTTCTATAACTTAAGCACGATTTTTCAGCTAATTTGTTGGGGTGCACGTTGCGATACTAGAAAATCATTTAAACATAACACAAGTGAATACAACTGAGCGACGCGGAATTCATATTTAGACTTCAGGAAATATTTACCGACATTTTTACAAGAGTAATTGTGTTTATAACCAGCTTAAAAAAAGATTAAACAGATGCCTATCCGCGTAAAATCTCAATATTTGAGGATACATTATATATTTTTAATCAAATTAGACATAATTTTCTTGTTTTGGTATATTTTATTCATTTTAAAGTCCTAAAATTTGTTTTTCTTGGTTTTCTTGGTAATTTTCTGATTTATTGGTTGAAAATTGTGTTTACATAATGTTGTGTTGCATGTCATGCAGATATTTGGTTGGTAAATAGCGACATTGTAAAATAAAGCAGAAAAAACGCGGTGGAAACGTGGAAATGTGGAAAATGCAAAGAACTTGGGCTTGGTGCGCTAGTAAACGTAGTAAACGTTTTCCCTCGAGTGTTTTCCTTACACGAAGGTAGAAATTGAAGCGACAGATCGTAAATTATCCACTAGAAAAACAAATGCAAACGTAACCAGACTAACTGAGTTAAATGCAAGTGAAAACGACCACAAAACAATAAAGAAACACAAGCAAAACACTAAAAAATAAAAAATGCAAGGATTTTATCTACAATTGAATACTTAAATATTCTTTTTGCCTTTAATTCTTTTTTTAACTTTTAAAATTGAATTTTTATTTTGTTTGCTGTGGTTTTAACTTAGTCCTAAGGGTAATCAAGTAAATTACTAGATAAACTCATTGCTGATCTTAAATTGTCTTTGTAATTAGCGTTATTAATCAATTTTATCACTTCAGACTTCCATACACACTCATTTGATATTGATTATTACAGTTATTCACGCATTGAATTTGAATACAAATTAAAAACTTCAAAACTGGTTTTAAACCAAAATAAAAAAAAACGCAAATGTTTGACTACCTATAACCTATAGTTAATAATTTTAATTAATTTAATTTAATTATATTGATTAAATCAAGATTGTGATTATGATTACGATCGTTAAAATCATTAAAATATTTCAAAATGAAAAAAAAATATTTAAATTTTATTAGGTCTATAATTTGTTTATGCGTTTATAGTTAGTGAATTTATGATTTTATAATTTTGGCCTGTGTGAATAATACCAGTGGACGATTATTTATCGTGTCAATCAAATTAACTTCTCTAAACGCAAGCCATGCGGAAATCCGAAGCGCGTTTTACATGCTCTTACGCAACACCACAATAACACCACAACAGACAACAAATTAACAGACAACACAATGGTTAATAATTGTTTTGAAAAAATGATGTAAGAAGTAAGAATGAAAATCATTCAAGTGCAAAATTAGATTAATTTGGTATTTTATTGAATATCAATCGAAATATGTATTTTAATTTACATAATTTTTGAATTTATTACATTCATATTCGTCGATCTAAAAGAACACGTTTTGTTTTGATATAAAAACATTGGTTTAACATTTTACAATACACACAACCTTCGATATTGAAGATAAAACACGATAAAAATGAATAACAAACATGAAAAACACTATTTTTACTGTTTCACAGTAACATTTTGTAAAAGTTTTAAAATTATAATTATACCAAAATTTAAAAAATCATTAGTGATTTGAGTGCATAATTAGTTTATTAATAACTAGATTTAACCCTTGGCTTCGCTCGCGAATATCTAAAATAATGAAGTTGCTTCCGTACGCGTCTGTAGTCACAGAAGAAGTAACAATGAAGTAGAATGGCGGGAAGTTTAAAATGGCTGAAAGTATAGTCTATGGAAGTATAGTGTACAGTCTCCATAGTGTAGTCAATTGGATTTGATGTTGACGTTGCTGTCGGTAATTCAGTGTGATAATACAGTGTGATGGTACTATAGTACTTAGGTTTGAGCTTCATTGCTGGAATGCTAGATGGCGTTAAAGTAGTCAAATAGCCAGATGCAGAGGTATTATTGGCTAAACAATTTCTTTATTTTATTTAAAAAATATTTTTTTTTATTAAATAAAAAGTAGCCTATAACCATTCGGGGACCACTAGGAATATGTGTACAAAGTTTCATGATGATCGGTTAAGTAGTTTTTGCGTGAAAGTGTAACAAACATCAGGACTTTCGCATTTATAATGTTAGTAGGGATTTAATTTCTAAAAAATTAACTTTTCAAATTAAATTTACAATTTTCCTAATATTTTATTAGTCTATCAAGATATAATTATAAATTCAGGTTAGATTTTTAGTATTTATCTCAATAAATAATTTAATGGCGCAGTAAGTGCTGTAAAATGTAAGTAAAACATGTCTGCGTAATTAATGAGGTGTGACAAACTGGAGCAGAGGCAACGCACACGCCGCTGCGAACAACTTCATAAACTACGGCGCCACGTACTTAATCTCTGGTAGGCACTCTCTGTAATTATTTTCCACACTCGAGCAGCAAGAGCGCAGGATTGCACCACGCACAACAATTGCGCACTGTTCTTATCTCATTATTGCCTACACCTCGTGCGCCTAGTGCGGGCGCACAGCAAATATTTGCGATTCAAATGATATGCGTTTCAAAATAGTTCAATAGTCAAGAGGCACCGCAGTGAAACAAACAATTAAGATAATAGCATGTATCTTGTGTGAGGTTTAAATTTTTAATAGTTTTGCACAGAAATATAGAAAGAAAAATTGAAAAAATATCGAAATAAGCGTAAAAGTGTGTAAAATTTAATTTTTAACACTTGATGTGTTAAATATCTATAATAATTTGTAGGAAAATATATAAAATATTAATTTTATGATGTTTTTGAATGTATATTTTCCTTTTCTATGGATTTACACGCAAAAATATTGTTTTTTTATTTAAATTTTATAGTTTTACGCAGAAAAACGAAAGAAAAAATTGAAATAAACTTAAAAATGTGTAAAATTTTGTTTTTTACACTTGTTCTAGAAAATATCTTTACTAATGTTTAGGAAAATGCATAAAATAGCGGTTTTATGACATTTTTGTATGCATTATTGACATTTTTATGTTAAATTTTCAGTTTTATACACAAGTGCGAAAAAACCTATTTGAAAACCTTCAAATTTATTAAAGTAAGCATTACTAAACTAATTAATAGTAGAAACACTAAGAAAATCTATAAAATTATTTGTTTTCTTAAAGAATATCAACACAAAAAGCAAAATATAAATATTTGCGTGCTTAAAAGTTTCGTTTTTAACACTTTACATTTAATTAATTTATAACATTTCATTTCATTGTATATTGTGTATTTCTGTAATCGAAATAGAAATCGCAAGTTTCTCATCATCATCATAATTTATTGTTTCTAATTTATTATATTTGCCACTATGGCACCTCCAGTAACAGTAATAGTAGTGGAAGAATTTGTGTAAGTGCACGAAATTGAATTAATTAATCTTGCGTGTGGTGAATTCACAAATTGTTTCGTTATTAACAATGGCTGTGCGGATCGACGAGATGAGCAATTAGTCAAGGCGAAAAGCGTTTCATTTCGTTTAGAAATTCGGCGCTTTAAATTAAACACTTTTCATTTCTTCGCGTCTTTTGTGTGGAGTAGATATATAGGTAATTCACTTTCGAAAGTCTTTAGAGTCAGGTTGAAACAGAGAGAGAAAAGAGATAGAAAGGGAATAGAAGGAGAGCAATCAAAACGGAAGTGTTTGAGATTTAAATTTGGGCATTAATCGTCTGTGAAATGTACGAACGCTTATGTGTTACATATACATTTCCTAGGTTTATTACATCGTCGGTATGTACAAGTACAATTAGTTTTTCGAAAATATTTTTAGAGATTAATGATGATTACAAATTACAGCCGGTATTATTTTTTGTTCGTTTAGGTTGGTTGTTTCGTAACGTGGGGTTTTTGCGTCATAACTTTGGTATTTTTAATCGTAGGAGTATTATTCAAGTATAGTTAGGAAGGGATTTTTCTTAAAAATAAAAATATGTGAATTTTTTTTAAATAATTTCAATAAAAACCGAAAAAATGAAAAAAAAAGTCGAAAACTTTAAAATTTAATTTAAAATTTATTTTGCACACCCTGTAAGTTATATTTTCACGACAAAAAATAGCCTATGTTATTCTCCTAGGTCTATAATATCTCCAAATCAAAATTGATTAAAATATGTTGAGTGGTTTTTGCATACCAGCGGCACAAACATACAAATAACATTACATTCGCATTTATAATATTAGTTAGTATGTACTTCTCATCAATAACTGTAAGATGTACAAGTGATTATACTTCTATAAAAATCCCACAACAATGCCACGCAATAAATATTCCAAATTTTCTCCGAACAATAAAAGATGAAAGTCAACTATCAAATTCCCATTGAAATGAGTGATGATGAGCCTGGCCAACATTTAAACTTGACATTGTAAGTCACGACGACGTTTTAAATCGTATTTCGCGCTATAAAATCATTCATCGATGATTTGTTAAATTACTATACTTACATTGTACTCGTATACACTTACGTATTTTGCAAAGTGTAAAAGTGTAAAAGTGTTAAAAGTTACATCCTTCAATTCGTAGTGAATAAAAAAAGTATTACCACAATGCCTACAACTACTTGAAATAAGTACAATTCAAGTAAGTACAAGAAATA